AAATCGTTTTCAAGTAAATATCAGTCCTAATTGCCAAAACATCAAATCATTGTGAAATGCAGGGGGTGGGGGGGATTCTCTTTAGGTCATGCCCCCCTGAAACCCCCCATATTGTTAAATTTACTATTTTCAAACATCCATAACTCAATAACTATTGATTTGCGGCAAAAATGAAGACCATAATTCGTGCTTAGCATGCAAAATACTACTAGAAAATAAGTATATAAAACGTGAACATGAGACGTGTGCATAAGTATTAAAAAAACCCACCAAAATATTTATTTTAAAAAGAATTGGATTGTTGCTAACAGGAGGATTCAAAAGCACTGGAATTTAAAAAAATAATTTTTGTTCTCAACTGTGAAGACAGATTGCCCTTGTGCATTGTTTGACAATGTTTGAATTCGATGCCCAGGGTATGAGTCAATAGGCCTCGTGGTGCGAGAGCGGTCAAAAATTCATGGCGCAACTTATTGTTAAATATGTCCTTAACTATCGAACATATAGACTCTCCAGCTTTTACACAAGGACTTTTATCAATTTGTCTTAACTGATTAATATCTTTGTAAACACCTATTAGTTGCATCTAGAAAATTCCTAAATAAATACTAATTATAGTGAGGTCAAAAATTCCTGGTGCTACTTATTTTCAAATACCTTCTCAACTATCGAACATGCGTTCTCCAATTTTTGCACAGTGACGTGTATCAATTTGTCTTAACAGATCAACATTTTTGTAAAAACCTGCAAGCTGTATTCTAGAAAATTCCTTAATAAATACTAATACAAAATCCCAAGTGGGTGGTTTCTACAGATTTTTAAATGTTTACAGCTGGGGCAATATTGCTTTTAATAGCAAATCCGTCAGGTTTTTCTGATCGAGACTTTATGCTTATTGAACGCATGTTTTGAGAGCCATTCGTGCAAAAATGTGTTCGCTATAACAATAATTTCTTGTAACACGTTTTGCAAGTAAAAATTGTCATCGATGAGCTTTGACGTAGTCCTTATGTGGATTCAAAACGTGTGTGAGAAGCGGGAAGTGCTGTGAACAATACCATTTTACGTGTGACAGAGATTTCAAGCATTTTATATAAATTTATGAAAAAAAGTTTTTAAATCTAGCCCCAGTTGTTCTGGAAAAATATGAATTAGTTGAGACAAATTGATACAAACTGCTATTCAAAGTATGGATGACTTTGATTTCTCCCGTTAAAGAGATATTTGAGGATAAGTTGCACCACGAATTTTTGACTGCACTATAAAAACCCAAGTGCGGGTGGTCTCTTCAGATTTTAAAAATAATTTAGTGATTAGGCCGAGCAATAATGCTTTTGAAAGCAAGTCCGTCACTTTTTTTTTCTAATCGCGACATTATGCTCACCGAACACAATTTTTGCGAACCTTTAGTGCAAAAATGTCGTGTTCACGATAAAATTAATTTCTTGAAAGAAGTTTTGCTATTAAAAAGTGCCATTGGTGAGCTGTGACGTAAGCCAACTGCAAAATGTGTGTGAGAAACGAAAATTAAGTGCTGTACAATCCAAATTTTCACGTGACGGAGATTTATAGTATTTTATATCCGACATTCTGATGCAAACTGCTGTGCAAAGTATGGGTGACGTTGAACCACCCGTTAAAGAGATATTTGATGATAATTTTTTGACCCCACCATTGTGTTGATTTAACTATCGCTGGGAAGTTCTCCATTGGGCATGCTACCTATAGGCCAAAGAACAATTCATTATCGTCATCATCATCGTCATCATCATCATCATCATCATTGTTTAGCAGTGACATATAGGCGTATGCAAAATGTGTGTGAGAAGGGAGAAGTGTTGTGGACACTCCCATTTTCCACGTGACAGAAATCATCCTCATCCTCATCCTCATCCTCATCCTCATCATCATAATCATCATCCTCATCCTCATCCTCATCCTCATCCTCATCCTCATCATCATAATCATCATCCTCATCCTCATCCTCACCCTCATCCGCATCATCATCATCATCATCATCATCATCATCATCATCATCATCATCATCATCA